AGGGACCCTTGGGGGATTCTCATGCTGGTCTCATGCAGGGTCTGAGCACGCGGTGATGGCTGGGCCCTGTGCTGCTTGGGGGCCTCCAGGGCTGCCCCTGGTTGGGGGATCAGGGGAACCAGGGATCGAACCAGGGTCAGCTGCATTCAAGGCCGCCACCTCCAGGCCTGCACAAATTCCTGAACGCCGGTTAAGTTGGGGACTTTCGGATGAAAACCTGAACATTTGGGTCAGGAGGTGGCTGAGGGCGAGCGTGTATGCTCAATCCTTGGTACCCCCTGGTGCCCCGAGAACACCCACTGTGACCCCGACTCCCCTCTCTCGAAACAAAAAACCAATCCCCGACCTGCTTCCTGGGAAACTGGGCTCCACGGCCCAGGAAGTCGCTGGTTGAAAACAAGAGCATCTTCCCACAGGGGCTGAAACCATCTCAGGCCCAAAGTTATCTGGGGTCCACCAATGGTCCCAGCGCCACCTGCTGAAGGGGGCCGGGTCCCAAAGCTAAGGGGTGTAGTTTGGGGCCACGGGGATCGAACCCGGGTCCTCACACATGCAAAGCGAGTGCCATCCTGCTGAGGGTCATCGTGTCCGTTGGTGGGATCAGAACGGCTGAGTCTTCATGGCGGAGACGAAGGCTTCTTCCTTCCAGCTTGGGGTATCCCCCAGACCCGAGAGACACAGTGACCCTTCCCCTTCCGTTATCTTCACTGCAGCCCAGAGAAGCGGCTTTTCCAGCACCTCCTCACGGTTGTCCTCCAGGATTGCATTCTCCCAATGCCACTTCTGGTTCTGGGTGGCCCGGGCCCACCTTTCTGTTCCCAGCTGGTCACGGGGGAGTCTGGAATTCCTACACTTCAGAAATATCCAGTTGCATCCAGGTTGAGGAGTGGGGAGACGGGTCAGTGCCAAAGTCCCACCATCCCAGTCTGGCTCGGGGTCCTTCTTCCTGTAGCCGAGGCGGGCGCTGCCTGGCCCCCAGGTGACCCCCTGGAATCCCTCTTCTCTCTCTCTCCTTTCTCCAGTTCTCAGCAGGCCGCAACCTGCCTGCTGAAATCCCCTTTTTGCTTATTTTCTTCCCCGGCCTCCACCTTCCTCCCTGCCAAATTTCTTGCACCTCAATTGCACAACTCCTGTCCCTTCTGGTTTCAAGCCCTGGTTTTCTTTAAGACTCACTCAAACGCTGCCTCCTTCAGGAAGCCTTCCAGGGGCTCTCGGTACAGTGGAACAACGCTCCCTAGGCGGGCGTCCCCGTTGCAAGGTGTCCCCTTTGTGGGCGACAGAGGATCTCAAGATGAGACGGGACGAGTGTGAGTCCTCAATCTGATGACTGATGTCCTTCCGGAAAGGCGAGGTGACACCAAGGCACACAGACAGGGACAGAGGAGTCCACGAGGACACGGAGACAGCGGTTCGAGCAACACCGCCATGAACCAGCATGGGGTCCCGCAACAGCTTGGCTTCAGGCTGTAGGTGCCTGGGGTAGTCCGAGAAGAAAGCGGAGTGTTTCCCAGGTCCCCACACAAGGCCACACTCCAGGCTGCCTCCGGGGCTAGAGCTGTGCCCATTGTGACAGCCAGGTTTGCTGGTCTCTCCCTGCCAGGAGTGAGGGGGTCGGGCACCCCCAGAGGAGGGTGTTGGCGAGGAGGATTCCCGAGTAGCTGAAAGGAGCTTTTTATTTTTTTTTTCTCTTTGGGTCACACCCAGCAATGCACAGGGGTTGCTCAAGGCTCTGCACTCAGGAATTACTCCTGGCGGTACTCGGGGGGACCATATGGGATGCTGGGAATCGAACCCAGGTCGACCGCGTGCAAGGCAAACGCCCTACCCGCTGTGCTAACACTCCAGCCCAAAGGAGCTCTTTCCAGGGAGTTGCAGGGGAGCAGGACCACAGACCAACCCAGCAGCCGAGGCCCTGCCTTGTTCCCCCCGTAGCATTCGGCCCCTCTCCCCTTCCGCTAGAGCAGGGGTGCCTGTGGGCTGCCCTCCCGGGGGTGGGGAGGTTGGGGGGCCCAGCACTCTCTGCTCACACCCAACCCAACCCGCGGTCAACTTCTCTTCTCTTCTTCCCAAAGCTCCTGCTAAAACCATGTCAACGTCCATGGGTGTTGGAGGCCGAGTCAGGCACCTCGGAGGGGAAAAGGGTGGCCCTACACTCCGTGATGCTTTTCTGGAGGAAGTCGAGGGCATAGCAGATTAAAAAAAAAAAAAGCATAGTGGCCATGAGCCTTACCCCCAGACCCGACTTTGGCCACCAAGGGTAGGGAGAGATGTCTCAGTGGGTCACGACTTCTGGTGTTTAGAGTGGCAGCAGACAAGCCCTTGGTCGGGGTTATTCTGCAGCCCGGGCACACAGCCACCCCAAACATTGCCAAACGCTGTTTGACCAAAGGCCACTCTGGGGAAACAGGCTGCCCTTCCTTCCAGGTAAACACGCTGCTCTTGTAATGCCGACAGCCCACCTTCCTTCTGGGGGGGAAGGGGGTGGCTTTTCTCCAAGTCTCAACCCACTGAACCCTCGACAACCCCTTCCCAACATCACCTCCTGGCCACGGCATGCTGCACCCCAATTCTTTTTGTGTTGTTGTTGTTGTTTTTGTTTGTATTTGGGGTACACCCGGCAATGCTCAGGGGTTACTCCCAGCTCTGCATTCAGGAATGACTCCCAGAGGTGTCGGGGGACCGTATGGGATGTCGGGAATGGAACTTGGGTCGGCCGCATGCAAGGCAAATGCCCTCCCGTCTGTACTATGGCTCAGGCCTTAGACCCCAGTTCCGGACAGATGATCTGTGACAGCTCCTCCCCTGCCCACTGCTTCTCATGAATTCCTCACTGCCACACACTCGGCCTTCTGTTTGTCCGCTCCCCCAGCACCCCCAAACACTACGGACCCTGAGGATGGCCCCTAGGCCCTTCCACAATTTGGGGACTGTAGGCGCAGGAAGCTTTGACTCCAAATTCCCCAACCGGGACAGCTGCAGGAGACCCAGGAAGACTCGGTCTGACCCTCACTGAGTTATGGGTACCCTCTTGGGGTGCCATCCAGCGGGGTCAGACGACTGAACCCAGTGTGAACGACACTGGAAGTTTTCTCAGCCCTATGGATCTGCCCTGCTGTGGGGGGTGGGGTTCCATACAGATTTGAGCCGTGTTTCTATCTAACTGGCCCCGATCACCCCCTGGAAGGGAATGTCCACTCAGGTTGGGCTGTGTGGACGTACCTTGCAGGGCACCCCCTCTGTACAGTCCTGGCACCCCGCCCCCCACCCCCAACCCAAAGACTTCTTTTTCATTTGGACTTGTTTATAATCAGCCCAGCGTTTCCAGGTTGACTAAAGAGTTCTTCATCTGCCGACTGCAGCCAGTTATAAGAACAGTGAATGAGATCCAGGACTGGGGCCAGCTGGAAGAGTCGGGAGAAAGTTTCTCAGAGATGCAGACAGCTAAGGAATGACAATCACAAGCAATTGTCCCCAACCCCACAGCCCCTCCGCTAGGAAACCTTCATCTGCCATCTGCATTCCCTCCGGAAAACGAAAGTGCTGAGAACCACACTACGCCCCCCACCCCCACCCCCCTTCCAGTGTGTCCAAGGGTTAAAAACACTTCCGAGCGCGCCTTCCAATGGCAAGGTCAACCAGCTGTCCAAACCACCCACGGAGAAGCCGGGTCCCAGGACGGCCAAGCCCGGGGTCGCCAGCGTTCCCCCTCGCACCCCAGCTCCAGGCCGCCCGGGCCAGGGAAGAAAGAGTTAATCGGCAGTCAGCTTTGGCTGATAGTTCAGGCTCCAAAGTTCAGTCGCAGTCAGAGCCACCCGGAGGAATTGTAAATCTCAGGGAGTATTTAACAAAACAAAAGCAACCTGGAATTACATGCAGGTTCGGTTTCCTACAGTACATTTTTACTTAATCCCCTAGGTATGTGGCTCCGCGTCAGATCAGCTGGCTTCGCGGGCCCCTTCCCCAACGCCCCCACCCCCACCCCCACCCCCCAGCCCGGCTCACAACCGTTGAAGCTTCCAACTAATTCCCTGTTTTTGCTCTTCCCCTTCACAGGGCCGGCTGGAGACAGCCCGGCCGGCCGGCTCCAAGATCTCTCTCCCCAGCCCCCGAGTCACCAGTGAGTCAGCCGGCTCGGGTCAGAGTGGGTGACAGCCGGCTCGGCCTCGCGTCCTGGGCTCCCGGTCTCGGAAAGCTGCAACCCGCAGACAAGTTCAAGGCGGGCGCGGAAGGCGAGCGCGGCCCCCACGGTCCCCAAGCCCCAGTGACCGGGGGAGGGATCCCCAAGGCCGGGGCATTATCGGGGGGAGGAGGGCAGGAGTCGTACGAGCAAGGGCTCTTGATTGGCTGCCGGCGACCCCCCAGTCCTGCTCTTCCAGGATTCTCCAAACCCCTGGGGCTCCGAGTGCCTGTCAAGCCCGGCTTGCCCCTCCAAAGACCACTCCCCCTTTCCCAACTCCAGCCCGGGGTCCCCTCTCCAAGCAGCCTCGGGGAGCCGCAGCCGCCCAGGTTGGGGCTGGGTTGCCAAGGAAAACACCAAGCGCCAGCGAGCAGGCAAAGGCGGCTTCCAGCACACCCCAGCAGCGCGCACACCCAGCATTCACCAGGGTGGCGGGCACGGAGCGGGGGGAGGCACGCGCGCGCGCACACACACACAAACACGCGCGCGCACACACGCACACACATGCATACAACACCTTCCAGGGGGAGCGAGGAATGTGGGGAATGGGTGGGTCTCCGAAGTTTCGGGGTGGGGGTGGACAGCCCAACCAGACACTTATCCCAAAGCAGCGGATCAGCTCCAGACCTGCCAAAAAGGACGCGCGGGTGCCCGGGAAATTTACAAGGTGAAACTGACTAGCTCAGCGTTCGCGGGTGCCGGCGGCGCTGGGAGTCCCCGCGCGGGCAGCAGGTGGGCGCCCCCGGCCCGGCGTCCACTCCCCGCACCCCAGCCCGCGGGCGTCGCACGGTGCCCCCCGCGCCCGGACCCCCGCACCACGTACCTTCCTGGCGCCGCGTTCTGCGAACTCCCGGGCGAGCTGGCGCCCGATGCCTCTGCCGCCGCCGGTGATGAGGACGTTCTCCCTGGACAGGTCCCGCAGCTTGGCGGGCAGCACCAGTCCCACGGCTGCTTTCGCCACCAGATAGATTATCTGCAGAGGGAACACCACCAACGCGCCGAGCCATTTCCACACCATCCTCCGCGCCGCGGAGCTGGGCAGGGGGAGCGAAACTCCCCGGACCGAACGCACAGGAGTTTGAAAAAAAAAAAAAGAATAAATAAGACAAATAAGGAAGGAGAGAAGCGTCCCAGTTGGCCCCTCTGGAAACCAGCTCTTCTCAAATGCAAAACACCGAGTGCGAATTAAAAATAAAAAATAAAAGAAGAAGATAAAAATCCTCCTCCTCCGGTGGAGAAAAAGACGTCTCAGAAGGTTGGGACAGTAAGAGGGGTGGAAGGGAAGCCGGAGGTGGAAAGTTCGAACAAGAAGTTTCTTGCCCCAGCAGCCGTTTCGGCTGGGGAATCCTCAGGTAATGTTTACAGGCTGACAGAGGAGTTTAGGCAGGGAAGGAAAAAAAAAAAAAAAAAAAAGAGGCACCAACCACACGCGCGCACCCGGCTACAGCCCTGCGGTTTCAAAGTGCAAGATAAAAAAAAAAAAAAGCAGTTTCCAAATTGTAGCGCCCCCCCTCCCCCTTCTCCAGGGAGGGGGGGAAAAAGTGGGGGGGGGGAAGTGCTTGGAGCTCCCAATTTCAGCCCGCGAAGGTCTCCCGACTCATTGCTATTCTTGGGCTCAGGAAATTGCTTAAACGCGATCTGATTGCCAGCAACGTGCAGGAGAAGTGGGGGGCCCGGGTGTCAGTTTCTTTACGTGCATGGCTCGCTCTTGGCGCGCGCTCGCTCGCTCGCTCGCTCGCTCGGGCTCCCTCCCGCCCTCTCCGCCGGCAGGGGCTGGGAGTCGCCGCTCGCGCCGGCGGCCTCTGGGTCCCCCGCGAGCGTTTATTGCCTCCTTTCCGTCCTTTCCAACTTGGCCCCGGCCCGGGTGCGGAGCGCGCGCCGCTCGCTCGGACGCCGGGGTCTGCGCCGCCTTATTCCCGTGCTCGCGGGGCAGCCGCGGCGCGGAGCGAGAGGGCCGCCCACCTCCCCCCCCACCCCCCATTTTTTTTTTAATACCCCATTAAGTCTGATTGACAGCTAAAGTTGTTCGCAGGCTGCGCCCGGGCTGCTGTGAGTGGCTGCCGCGGCCTCCCCTCCCCCTGCGCCCGGCCGGGGCGCGCGCGCGCGCGGGCGCGGGCGCGGGCGCGCACCCGGGCTCGCTCCGACTCGCGCTCTCCCGGGGCTGGCTCCGGTCTCTGCAAGCCGGGACTTGCCGGCCGTGCCCCGGAGGCTCGCGGCCCTAACTCCAGCGAGCTGGCAACGACTTCTGCGAACCGGCTGCCTCCAACGAGACATTCCTCGCGGCCCGGGACGCGGGCTCCGGGCGCTGGGGACCGCCGCGCGACGTGCGGGACCGGCCCGGGGGGAGCTCGCGCCCGCCTCCCTGCAGCTAGGTCGCCCCGGGTTTATTTCAGGTCACTGGGTCTTCCCCGCCTCCAGGTAGGATCGGGAGGCCGCTCCCGACCTTTGCCCAGACGTCTTGTGCCTTCACTTAGGAGAGCGATTTTCTGAGACTGACCCCTAGTCCCTGACGCTGCTGTGTGTGTGTGTGTGTGTGTGTGTGTGTGTGTGTGTGTGTGTGTCGGGGTACTGGGGAGCTCGGTTTTGCTTTTTGATGGGGTGGGGGGGGGCGCGCGGGGGAGGTGGGCTGGGTAAAGGAAGCTCTGCCCCAAGGTGCTAATAAAATCCCCAGAAGATTAGCTGGGAGCATATTTATTGCTCATCTGGGCTAGAATTACCTTGACTGACAGCAATTTCCTTAATAACAAAAGCTGGTAAACAAAACGTCCCCAAAGCATCGCCCCCCTCCCCCCGTGGGAGGCAGCAACCGCTCTGGGGCTCTTTGGAGCTTGGGGGTGGGGGGCCCTCCTGCTCTCCCCTTGGGGAGCCTCTGTCCCAAGCTGGTGGGAGGGACTGGGCCAACGAGGGTTGCCGGCTGGCTGCCTGGGACCCAGAGGTGAGTCACTGCCAGCAGCCCTGGGTAAAAGTGCTGATGGGACTTGTCTCCCGCTGCCCCTGACGGTCTCTGCTGGGGGAAGAGCCGGCAGAGAATCCCAGGGGCCCGGGGGCTCCCCAGACTCTCCGGGAGTGGAGGCAGGGAGGGGGGAGCTCCCATCTGCCATTCATGCTGCACCCAGGTTGGGGTGTGTGGTGGGGTGGGAGTGGAGGGGGGCAAGCCCTTCTGTGAAAGGCAGATCCGCAGAGCGGGGTCCGTCCTTGCTCCCGGGCTGCTAAGACCCTCAGGATCTCGCTACCTGGTCAGTGGAGAAAGTCCCTAATTGGGTAGCAGAAGGGGAAGAAGGTTTGGGAGGGTGAGGTGGGGCTAGACACTCCCCTGCTTGGAGGGTATTTGGGGAGCTCTGTCGCCTTGCCTGGAGGTGCCGCGAGGAGGGACCCAAGACAGGCCCTGGTGGTCACCCAGATGTCCCATCCCGGCAGGGACTGGGAGGGGGGAGCGGGTCTCCCTCTGGCTTCTGCAACACTCCCAGTACCGCCAGGGACAGGTCTGGCCGTCTGCTGACGCCGGGACACGCCCAAAGGCTGGACTTCTGGGTGAAACCTGCTGCCACCGTCTGTAGGTCTGAGGTCTGCAGGAACAGAAAGGAAGCCCCCCGGCCGCCGGCGCTGGCCCTTCCCAGGCTGGGGCTGTGTCCGCACCCCCGCGCCCAGGCGGCCCGTTCATCTGCGATCCTTGACGCCGCCTAGTGGCCTGGCCCCGACACTGCGCCCCCGTGTTGCCGCTACCCCAAGCCCAGCTCCCTTTCTCCGGCCAGCCCGGGTGAGGTTGGCACCCCAGCCTGCTCCCGCGCCTCCTCCCCACACGCCTGCCGCCTTACGAGGAGGGAATCAATCCAAGTGCCGAGATTTGGAGCCACTCAGACACAGTGTTCCGACCCCGCCGGTCCCAGACCCTCCCCTGACCAGCTTGCTAGGCCAGCTGCGGACCCCCAGGCTGCCGTGGCACCCTCGCCCTGAGCATGTTTGGGGACGGAGGCGGAACCGAATAACCCAGACCCAATACTGTCTCCTTTGAGAGGCGCAGCTGCAGGGGGGGGAGGGGATGGGCATCGTGGGGCCACTTAAAGCTCACCCCTCACCTGTGTCTGGCTGTGGGGGTTGGGGTGGAGCAGTGACAGGAGCGTGGCAGGAGAGCCTGGGGAGCAGGGAAGCGTTTGTTTCCTCTGCGCCTGGACACCCGGACAGTCGCAGACTTGGCTCAGCCTCAGCAGGGGGGCTGTCACCTCCTCAGGTGCCCATCGCCTCCAGTGCCCCCTCACCACCTCCAGGACCATCACTTCCTCTGCGCCCCCTCACCTACAGTGACCCACTACCTCCTCCAATGCCCTCTCACCTCCTCAGGTGCCCCCTCACCTCCTCCAGTGCCCTCTCACCTCCAGCGCCCATCACCTCCTCCAATACCTCTCACCTCCTCCAGTGCCCTCTTACCTCCGCCAGTGCCCCCTCATCTCCTCCAGTGCCCATCACCTCCTCCAGTGCCCCCTCACTTTCAGTGCCCATCACCTCCTCCAGTACCTCTCACCTCCTCCAGTGCCCCCTCATCTCCTCCAGTGCCCATCACCTCCTCCAGTGCCTTCTCACCTCTTCCAGTGCCCCCTCATCTCCAGTGCTCATCACCTCTTCTGCTGTCCCCCATCTTCAGTGCCTCCCTCACCTCCTCCAGTGCCCATCACCTCCTCTGATGACTTCATCACCTCCAGTGCTCCCTCACCTCCTCCAGAGCCCCCCATTGGGCCGGAGTGTGCACAATGCAGCACCAGCAGCAGACCACTGGGCACCCCCACGCCCGTCCCGCTATGTCCCTGGCACTTGGTTCCCTCCCCTCAGTTCCCTTAGGGCCGGGGCTGGGCTGTTTAACTCCAAGACCAAGTCTGAAATTTCACACTCCAGCCCGAGGAGAGGCCCCCGGCCCACCCAGCGCTCCCAGCCCTGAAAGAGGCTTTTGTGGGCTGCACGAGGCAGGAGGTGAGCTGCAGCCCAGAGCTCACTTTTTCCATGACTCAGATCGCGCTGGGGGCTGGGGCGGCCGGGGTGGGAGGTGTGCGGAGACAAGGAGAGCCCAGCGCGGCTGAAGGGGGGCCCCGGGTGACCCCCGAGACAGCACAGCCCAGGCCACGCGGGAGCTTGCTGGGCCTCAAGTGGGCCGCCCCGGGCTTGTCACGTGGGCATGGGCCAAGAAGTGCTGTGGGCCCCTTCGCCAGCTTGCTCCCGTCTTGCTAGTTCCACTGAGAGCCGGGAAAGCAGCGGCCTCACGCCGTGTCTCTGAGGCTTCCAGAGTCTAGCACGTCACCCTGCAGCTAAGCGACGGACATGGCATTTGAACCCGGGCCTCCGTTTGGCGCTCTCCTCACTCCTGGGGCTGCCCCTGGCCAGTGTTTCTTGACCCTCCAGCTGTCTTTTCTTCCTATGCCCCTTCCTCAAGCCCCGGCTGGCCTCCGGGTGTCATGCACGGCCCTTCAGCCAGACCCCTACCCCTTAGCTCCCCTGCAGTGTCCTGGACCCCCACAGCTTATTCCCTCAGGAATACCCCCCCGTAGCCTGACTGAGAAGCCCTGATTTGCAGAGGCTCACCGGGGAACTTGTCAAATGCAAACTCTTGAGCCAGGGCTGAAGGGTCGAGCTGGGAGCGGGCCCCAAACAACCCAGACCAAAGCGAAGACGACCTCCCTGGCCCAACCTGGGCTTCCCAGAATGGACCTTGCGGGAGGGTTCTGCATGTGCTGGCCAAGAGGACATCATTAGGGTCCAGTGTTCCAGAACCTTCCAAAATCGCCTCTCCTGGCCCCCTGCCCGAAGCCTCTGTTGTCTCTTCCAGCGCTGTCCAAACTCCTCCGCCTTGGCACTCGGGATGACTCAGGGTACAGCTCTCACTCATGGGTGTGGCGTTGCTCCTGGCCTGCAGTCAGCGTTTCCTTTCAGAGTGTACACGCAGAGGCTTGTACGCGACTCAGTCTCAAGGACTCACATCAGGGGCTGGCACTTGGGGGCTCACAGTGGCCGGCACTCAGGGGCTCACATTCAGTGGCTGGCACTCAGTGGTTGACAGTGGCTGGCACTCAGGAGCTTATCCCTTTGTTCCCCAGATCTCCTTCTCTGGAACCTTCTCCCATCACCTTGTAGGTTT